GTCCCCTTCCTTCAGTCCCTTTCGGGCGCTCCGCGGCTTCAGCGTGAACTAAGAGATTCGTGTTCAAGGAGAGGTTGGGTCAGGTGATCAATCTGGTCCGGGCTACACTTGCGATTCTTCCTTCGTTGTTCTGCAAGTGAAGTCACCTCCAAATTGGGACAGTAAGTTACAGTTTTTATTGAGAGAGCTGCCGTCAGTGGGCTCCTCCTACTCAATTTGTCACTACTCCCAAATTTGGGCTCGGATCTTACTCAACAGAAATTACTTTTGTTGAGCATTTTAAATTACTCTTGGGGAGACTTCTTCCATATCACTGTAAATACCCTTTTCTTAGCAATTTGGTTAAAAGGTCCTAGGCTTTGATGTCTCGGAACTCAGGATATTTGCTTTCTTTGTAAAAGACTTCTAAAGATACAATTTAAATTAAGGCTTTAAGTGAAGTCAGGACATTTTTCACGTAGCCCCAAAAACAATGAGCTAGATAAGGAGATAAATCCTATCTTCTTCCTGAAACTGGCTAATGGGCAACCTTTACAAACATTCAAACTATTTCATTCAATATGACATTCAGGAGACAAAATACCTGCACAGCAATTCCTGCAGGTACCAAGTACCTGCACATAATGCTTTTCTGCTAAAATCCATCCTGGCACAGCCTGCTGACCCTAATTTTTGCTAATAAGAATAGCTTAATCTACAGGTGCTTCCTATAAGAATGTGATTAACTTAATTGGCAGAGAAGGAGGACATGCAGAAGGGAGGACTAGATAGTAGAGTAGAAGTTTGGCATTTGCCCTGTTTCCTTAGCCTAGACCAGTGATTCTCAACCCGGGTGCCAGGGCACCTTTCAAAAGTGCCGCAGGGTGCCACACAATGTTTGCAGGTAAGGTTCTTTGGGTAGATGTGCACACCTAACAGTGCTAATATGATTCACAAGAAAAACCCAGAGATTTCAAATATGATTCCATAGTATTACAATCATTCTAAACTGTTGTGGTCTTTCTGATTTCTTTGTGGAAGAAGAATATATCTATTATGTTTTCCTAGTAAAAAAAAGAATGAAAACTAAGAGCTGGCATTTTCCAAGGGGTACCCTGAGCCTAATGAGGGGTGCCTTGAACCTAATGAGGTTGAGAACCACAAGCCTAGACTATGAGCAAGTCCAGGGTTTTGCAAGGTAGGTGTAAATGGTGTCACACGTCATCACATATAACAACACATTTTTCCCTATTAAAGAGAAACTAGAAGCTTTACAAATATGATAGGAGGCTAGCACTATATTATTCAGTTTAAGATCAGAGCAAAACAAATATAACTATTGGAATGTGCACTAATTTGCTAGAGAATAGATCAAGGGTTTTTTTTAAAGAAACACAAACTAGGGGAAAACTCATCAAAAGATACTGCGGCATTAGTCCTGCAGTCATTATAGTTAAATGTACATCTCTTATTCAGATTAATAAAACAAAATCTAACCTGCTTGAGCATCTTGACAGTGCCTCCAGCACTGTACTTCGGTACCAATCACTTCTACACCTGAGTTAATATTACCACACCTGAGTTAAGGGTGTTAGCCAAAGCTGTCTTCAAGGCTGTGAAACAGAAGAGAGATTACCAGGAATGGCTTACAGGCAGTAACACTGCAGAAGAAAAGATAGTTTGAATAGCGAAACATCAAGGCCATTAAAAAGGCTAGAGGGTCATTAACACCTATGGATAGGAAGGGATTAACAGGAATTTTGGAGATGCTAATAAGGCATGAAGTCAACTGAGTCTCTCAGCACTACCTGAATAGACATGCCACTGCAAGGCAGTTAGTTTTGAAGTTTGGGGGGGAGCAGAAATGCAGGGGGGGGACACACAAGGGGAGTACAACTGCACCACTGCATCCTCCCCTGGATCTGCCCCTGGTCCAGACAATGGCAAAAGCAAAGTTCTTATTCTTCAGCGATGAGGCACAGCTGTGTAAGAAGCTAATATATAACTTTAGTTTGAGGACTTCAAATGGCTTTTGCAAGTTTTAAACAAGTAACCCTCTCAGTCCCCCTAGAAACTGGGATTGGCCCAATTTATAGAGAAAGAAACAGAGAGAGAGAGAAACTAACCTTTCTAAGGTGGCCTTTGCTTTCTTTTTATGGTTGCCTTGGTTCTTCAGACCTCAACAAGGGACACCTTGAAGATGACTCTTTTGTAATTTGCCAGTACTTATGTCTTTCTTCAGAAGGACTGTGACTAAATATGACTTGACAGTGCAGCTGTTTAGAGACACCTCAAGATGATCCTCTCCTGACATGACTGACAGGTATGTGGGCAGCTCTACCGTGTCATTATTTGTGTGTAATTTTTACAACTTAGATAATTAAACTGTAAATCTAGTAACGTCTCTCCCTCCCATCAACCTCAGCTGAGTTAATATGACCTTAGAAAGAAAGTTTTGACTGCAATTTCCAAGTGTCCATTAATGTGAAGTCCTCCATTTTAAGGAGTCCAAATTGAGAACCTAGGACCTGACTGACCACAGTTCTGAACAGCTGAGAATCCACTTAAAGTTAATGGAAGATGGAGGTGCCCAATGCCTCTAAAAATTTGGTCTTAAATCTCAATATCTCAGATTGGATACCTAGATATTTAGGTATCAAGACCCAGTGTGCATTCTTGAAAAAGGGGGCTCCTGTCTCTCTCTGCCTTAGTTCCTTCATATGTAAAATGGGGATAAAATGTGCGAGTCCCATGAAGGTATTGTGGTCAGGGCACTCCACAAGGATTTGAGTGACTGTTATTTTCTTGTCTCTGATCTAATTCAGACCATTTTTTTAATCTTGGTCCCTCACATCCCCAGGAAGAGCCTTAACCACCAGGATGTTTGGATGCAGGGACACTGTCCTGGAGCTAAGCCACCTTTCTTGAAGGAAGTTTCACACAAACAGATCTATTTCTGTGAAACGTTTCACTTTGGATAAGTAAGTATTTTCGGTTCAATTCCCAGGAATATAGTTGAGAGAGGTAGTTAGCCACGTTAGTCTGAAGTCAGGCAGAAGGCATAGCATCTTATAAAGTAGGGTGATGCTTACAAAGCTTATGCTTTTCTGAACAAGTTTGTTTCTAAGGTGCTACCTGACCTGACTTCCACCAGAGTTCTGGTTGAAATGTTCCCGGGAGGCCAAAGAGCTTACTGTTAATCCTCAGTTCAGTTAGTCCAGTTATTTAACTCTCTCTTCTTTTGCTTTTATGCTATACATTGAAATGTATTTATCATTAGCTGCTTTCATATAAGCATATTATTATATGAAACATATAAGAAGCTTTACCTGAGAGGCCGGGATCCTTACTCTGCTTCTCAAACTGGTCTGTCCCCTTGGGTTACACATTCCCCTTCTCTCTGTCTTTATTCTCGTCCTATTCTGCCATCTAGCTGCTACTGTCTGCTGTACTTCTTGTTCCTTTCTGGCTATTAAAACTTTAGTTGTCTCCTCCCTTCAGGCTCAAAGCCACTTAATTGAACAAAAATTGATTGAACGTAGCCTTGTTGCAAGGACAAGGTTTATTTGAGCACAACCCTTGTCTGTACACAGCAAAGACTCTGAATTTCCTATTCATTCAGAAAAAAGTCTGGTGGACAAATAGTTGATACAAACAACTGACATGACTTAATAGGCCTCCTGGGGCTTAAGCAGTCCATATAGTTAGATGAGACATCTCTTAAGACAAAGACAGCTGCTGGGAGATGGGTCAACGCAAGCTACCTCCTTTCCAAGATCAGGTCTACACTAAAACGTTTTGCTGGCATAGCTGTGTCAGCTCACAGTGTATCTCCCAGTCAGCATAGCTCTGCTGGTAAAAGTCCTTGTGATGGTTGGCTGATCTCAACCAGAGAAGTGTAGCAATGCCAGCATCTGCGGTGTCTCCACTAGGGGTCTCAGATTGGTATTTTGGCAGAGGCCCATTCTGTAGACAAGCCCAAAATACTGTCATACCAAGAGGGTTCCTGATTTGCACACTTGTGTTCCTCAATACATATTGTCTAGCATGGTGCTTCCAAACTGTCATAAGCTGTTTTCTTCTGAGTGTGCTTTCAGCTGAAATGACTGGCACAGATTTGTTTAAAAATGAAACCCTTCTCTATCTGTCATTCTCCTGTAATCTGTAGAATGGACTGGTAGTACACGCATGTGATGTATACAGCTGGTAGGTTTTGCTGGGCTAGTAACAAGCTCCAGTTAGTGACTTCCAGTTTCATTTGGGCGTTTTAAGCCCCAGGCACGTGTTCTTTTAATAGCAGGATGGGATCTGATCCCCAATCCCCCAACAATTGTGCCCACTGTCATGTCACATGTATGGCAGAAGGCACAATTTTGGGATCAGGGATCAGATCCCAATCACACCCTTTCCACTTGCCAGTAAAGGAGGATTATGATCCTGGGCTCTCCCTGTACTGGTAGGTTGAAAGCCAGGTGCACACCATCTGGTTTGAGACCTGAGGCTGTCTAACCCTGAACCAACAAGCAGCTGATTGTTGGTGAGCCCTGGGGTTTGAGAAAAAGTTGCAATTTGTAGATGTCCCAGGGTACCCCTCTCTCCCTTCTGCCGGAGCTACAGGGCAAAGCAGAAAAAGTTGCTAAGTAAGAAGGTTGCCAGGAATTCTAGAAAGCTAGTAACCTGCTCCCCCGAGCAGCACATTTTTGGCATTGGGACAGGGGCTGTCCTGATGCTGATGCTGCCCCCCTTCCCAATGCTGGTGCTGACAATCAGTGGATTGTCAATACTGGCATGGGGATGTTACATGTCAATTTATGGCACCATACAAATGAGCAATAAAGATGTTCCACATATTTTGTGGAACATCTTTGTAGCTGGTTTGCCACTTTATGGCACCATACATTGGCTGAACATTTACTGTTACTATTTATGGTGCAAGTAACATGCTAATTGCACCACAAATGTAACATGTGCCAGGCAGACGAGGTTCTTTGGGTGAACAGACTTCATTCCATCCAGGAAGAGTACGCACCAACTGCAGAGACTTCCTCAGCCTGATGAAGGGTTTTTAAACCCGAAAGCTTGCTATAAATTTTTTTCCCAACTTTAAGTTGGTCTAATAAAAGAGATCATATTCACCCAAAGAACCCTGTCTGCCTATGTCCTGAGACCAACACAGCTACAACCTACACCCCTATAACATGCACCAGGGACTTTTGAGTTGTAGTATTAGATATTTGCTTATTAAAAATGTTTTCTGTTGTTCTGTCAGATTTGTGGGTCAAAGAAAGCCATGTTATGGCTCTGCATGAAGGGAAAGAAAATAAGGAATGTTAATTATTTTGCCTTGTGTATAAAAGGATATAGGATGTGCCTCTAAAAACAGAAATGTTTGATTAAACTACACCTTTGCTCCTCCTTCTCCAGGTATCTTATGGGGAGGGACAGACTGATATATAAGTACCATTGTGTGCATCTGCTGATGTCTACAGGTAGGTTCAGAAGCAGGAATCTGCCAATAATGAGCAACTTTAACATTCAAATTGCACTAACATCCACATGCACTAGGACATTCCTTTGAAATAGGATGTGCCATAACATTGGCCAGTGTGCAATTTGTTGTGCAAATGTGTGGGGCTTTGGTCAAGAGAGATGCAGCCCTAGCCTAGTTCCCACTGGCAAGCCTGATCTCCTTACTAGGTTTTTGGCTGTAGCTGTGTTGATCTAAGGACATAGGCAGGTAAGGTTCTTTGAGTAGATGTGATCTCTTTTATTAGACCAACTGAGTAGTTGAAAAAAAGTTCTTAGCAAGCTTTCAGGCATAGTCACCCTGATCTCCTTACAAGACTTTCAGATTCTTTTTTCACTTCTGGGTGGATAAACAGCTGGAAAAAAACCTCTGACCCTCATAAAATTGATAGCATTGACTGAGGTTGAGCTCGCTTATTGAGTGTTCCCAAGAGCCACTGAATAAATATATAAAAAAATATTGCACTATTAAAACTTAAGAATCTTTGCTGACAGAGAACACGCATCTCTCCCAGCCCAGTAGTTGTTGAGGCAGGAGCTCTGGAGTCCTGGCCAGAGCTGCTGCTTTTACCAGGCTGGACTAGGGCAGCTATGTGCTCTGGGCCCGGGCTGAAGTAAGGCCACAGCTGGAAGGTAAAGTGATGGGGTGGGGGGAGATGAGGCTGCAGGGGAGGGAAATGGTGGGAGGGGAAGACAGGCTGGAGCAGAAGTGGCTGGAAGCAAGGGTGGCCAGTCCTATGGAGCAGGCAGTGTGGGGAGGGTGGGCGCCAGGAGCTGCAGGCATGGAGAGAGGCAGGCAGCTGTTTGGGGGCGAGGGCAAGTGACGGATGCAGTGTTGCCAACTCTCATAATTTTGGTGTTGTTCTTAAAGTCTACGGTTTGGGAATGTGAAAAACGTAGCTCTTTCTTTTATCTATCTATATAAATATAAATATAGGTAAAAGAAAGAACTACGTTTTTCACGTTCCTGAAGACTTTTAAGAACAGCACCCAAAATCATGAGAGTTGGCGGGGGAGGGGGGGGACAGCTGGCAGGGGGCAAGGTGCAGAAGGGCAAGAGGCAAGGACTCCCCCCACCGTCTGCCCCTCTGCCACTGCTTTCCCCCGCGGGGGGGGGTGCGGGGCTAATTTCAGAGACCCTCCAATAATTCAATCCTTGACATGGATGATGTTAATTATCCCGTTGATGTTGTTTATCCCATGGATGATGTTAATTATCATATCACATTAATACATTTTCCAGGCACGGGATCCACTGACTGCAAACTTTATTCCTCTTGGTTCAGAGACAATACCTTTTTTTAGACCAACAGAAATTGCAAAAAAAAAAAGAAATAATATTATTATTATTATTATTATTATTATATTTGAAATTGCAATTCCTGTCGGCCTAATAAAAGGTATCATTTCTGAACCAAGAGTTCTGGTTTTTGCATTTCTTTTTGTCTCAGACCCACACAGCTGCCAAATACATCCCTGCATCCAATTACTAGGGTTCGTCTTCAATTCGGGGAGACCCCGGCCCCGGCCCCACTCCGGCGCGGGGCAGCTCGGGGGAGTCCAGCTCAACCCCGTTGAACAGACTGACCCCGCCCGGAGCGATGCTGGTCGCGCCGCTCGAATCCGGCACTTGAGACACGGCCCCTTGGCTCCTTTTCGCCGCCCGCCCAGCCTGGCTCTTGACTGCGCTCCCTCGCTGAAATCCCGCCTCCCCCGGCCCTCTCGCGAGACGCCGAGTGCTCGGGAAGTCTCCCGGCATGGCAGCAGGTCGGCAGAACCCAACGCCTCTTAAAGGGGAGGGCGAGTTGCCCATTGGGCTGCTCTGGACAAGGGTTCGTGAGCCGTGTTGAGCGCATCGCGTCGGGAAAACGAGATGAATTTTCAGGGGAGGCAGGCAGCTGGTGGGTGTGGGCACGATGGTGCCTGAGGCTAACTGACCCTCTCCGTGTTTCTGCAGCTAAGCTCTGACAATGGTGCGCTACTCCCTGGATCCGGAGAACCCCACCAAGTGTGAGTGTGTGGTGGGGGCGCAGAGAATGGGGCAAGGCTGGTTGCGGGGGGGGGGATGCTCGGGAGTTGCAGCAGGGGAAGCTTAGGTTGGACGTGATGAAAAGCTGTTTCGCTCGGAGGGTGGTGAAGCACTGAATGTAAACAGAACGAGGAGTAACAAACGGCCTGACCTTACAGCAAGGGAAGCTTAAGTTGGATATTAGGAACACATTTCTCACTAGGAGGGTAGTAAAACACTTGAACCAGGTTACCAGAGAGGTGGTGGGAGCTTCATCCTTGGAGGTTTTTAAGGCCCAGCTTGACAAAGCTTTGGCTGGGATGATCTAGTTGGGGCTGCTTTGAGCAGGGGAGGGGACTCAACCTCCTGAGGTCCCTTCCAGCCCTCACTTCTTGTGATTCGGCACCAGTAGACCGGCTCCAGTGCAGCTCACATTGCAACCATTCACCTTTTGTCTCCGCAGCCTGCAAGTCCAGGGGCTCCAACCTCCGGGTCCACTTTAAGGTACGTGCAGCATGTCTGGCAGTTTTCTGAAAGCAGATGGACTAACAACTACAGTGAAATGTGTTGTGTGAGTCCTTCCTGCCTGAAGAAAAGCTGTGGGGCTGCAGTGATGACTTTCTTAGGACACCTTTGGATTCATCATGAAAACAGCTGAATTCTGAGCAGCCCATTTCTCCCATCAATCCCATTTTCTTCTTGTGCCACTTAGAAAAATCTAGGAGCTTTAATTGGTTTGTCGTCATTGTTGTATGACAAAAATTTGGGATTTGGATACTGTTACACCATTTTACAGACAGAAATAGAAATTTAATTCTTGAATTTATTTTCCGAAGTTTGGCAATGTGAATTTATCTTTCTCTACTTGTATCCTGATACGGATTTGAGATCAACGTGGCTTTTTTCCTTGTTCCCTTATTTTTCTATTTATCACTTTGAATACAGCTGTAGGAATCACTTTTTTATCATGAACATTTTTTTCTGGCCACTTCCTTCTGAAGTAGTCAATGAAAAATGTTATGTGCCCGAACTACCTGAATGTTCTTTATCTATTATGTTTAACATCACCAAAAGCTGTCTTAATATTAGTGTTTAATGTTTTGGCAAGTATATTCAAATGATTAGTGGACTTGAACTTAACTGTTTGAAAATTCCTGCCTCTGAGATAAAACAAGAGCACAGTCATAGTGGAATCACAAAACTGCTATTTGGAATGGGCATGGAGACTCCCGCATTGAGAGAATGTAATTTTCATGACACAGATCAGAATTAAGGAATTCTCTGCAGAGAGAAGAGAATGAGTCACTAAACTGTACTAAATTTCATTAAAACTTTACCAAAACTGCACTAAAAACAAAACCCAAAATTAATCTCCCTGACTTGGCTTCTTTTAAACTGTTTCTGCAATAATATAATGTAGCAGGAGTAGTAAGATGGGATTAATCACCTCCTTTCTTTTATAAACTGGGAAAGAAGGAAGACATTGTTTTATTTTTATAGAGAAATTAGGGGTACAGAGAGGAGAGACTTGCATGTGTTCACGTAAATGCATACTTTAATTTGTCAGTAGGGAAGAGCTTTTGGAGAAACATATTAATGTACTGTGCTTTGCTTTGTCAGAACACTCGGGAAACTGCTCAAGCTATCAAGGGCATGCATATCCGGAAAGCCACCAAGTACTTGAAGGATGTGACCCTAAAGAAACAGTGTGTTCCTTTCCGTCGGTACAACGGTGGAGTTGGTAGATGTGCCCAGGTGAGGTCTGAGATTTGAAATGTGAAGGTTTGCTTTTGAGCAAAAGATTATCTAGAAAACATGTGTGCCACAATGGCATAAGCCAGCTCTGTGGGACAGAGCAGACTGGGGAGGGGACAAGCAGCAGGGTGGCTGACATGGCAGGGAGCAGAAAAAAGAACAACAGATAGAGCAGGGGTGGGCAATGGCTAGCTCACAGGCTGGATCGAGACTGCGGCAGACTCCGTTTCCCAGCAGCCCCTGTGGTGGCGGTGGTTCCTGCCTACTGCCACTGGTCCCAGCCCCACTGCCCAACACTCCTGCAATGGCTGAGACTCCACAGGGGGCAGATTGCCTCTGCCCAGGCCCCACCCTGTGGTGTCAGGACTGCAAGATCCTGGCCCCAGGGGCCACCTCCCCAGCTGGCTGCCCTGCTCACACAGCTCCTGACCAGTGTCCATGGAGACCTGGGAAGCATGGAGCCATGATAGCTGTGCAGGCAGGAGCTGCTGGGAAACAGATTCTGGCCACTGGCCGGATCCACCATTTTGCCCACTCGTGAGAGAGCAAGGGAAGGTGGTCAGAGTGTGGAGTCAGGGAGGGTGTGGGGCTAATTTGTGGCATGCCTACCAGAAAGGTTGGCTCCCATTGATGTAGAAGATGAAGACTTGATTGTATTTTGGGTATTCAGCTATGGTGAAGAGAGGAATTGCTGCATTGAATTTTAAGTGAGAAGTAAGTGTGAGCATGTGGGCAGAAACATTACGCCAATACTAAATTGTAACAGTACAAGCTGTTTGACTATAGCTGTTAAGTTTGTTTGCTCCTGTACTGGTCTAAATGGAGCTAAAGAGCTATATAACTTTAAACCTGTTTTGTTCAGGTGCAGAGTTACAGAGGTTTAGTTCACTTATTCTGGTGAAGAAGCAGACAGACTTAACTGTAAATCAGAGTAGGTAATGCTGCTCCCAATAGCAAGTCCTCCTTTCTTTTTTAAGATTGTTTAATGTTACAGCTGTCCACAGACTAAGCTCATTCCTATCTTAAAAATGTAAGCTACAGCATGATTTAACATAGTTGGCAGCTTCTGCTTATGCTGTCTAGGGCACCAGTAATCATTGCTGACTTTGAGCACTTCAACTGTGCAGAAGGTACGTTTTAAATGAATTCTAGTTATTTTGGTGTATTAAGTGAATTCAGGCAGGATTTTGTGTAAAATTAGAATAGTGTGTATGGTCAGTTGTGGTTGCTGTGATGACTTTCTTAGGACACCTTTGGATTAACCATGAAAAGAACTTTCGAGTTCTGAGCAACCTTTATTAAAAGATGGACAATTGTTTTTGTTTTAAGTAAAACTACAACTAATCTGAATCTTAATCTTGCAGGCCAAGCAGTGGGGCTGGACACAGGGCCGTTGGCCTAAAAAAAGCGCTGAGTTCTTACTGCACATGCTCAAGAACGCCGAGAGTAATGCTGAGCTTAAAGTAAGCAAAGAATACAAATCGACCAGTAGAGCCAGTTCAGTATCTTGGGATACCAGTAGTCCTGAACTGAGAACTAAAAACCAAAGGTGATATTACTTACTTTATACAGAGAGGGAGAGCTTGCAGCACTCTGGTCTGGATTTGGGGTTTTGGTTTGTCATTGTCTGCTGCACAAATTGTACAAATTGTTGGGAACAAAACATAAGGAAGGCTTACAACTTAAACACAGTTTATGCACTAAATTATCAACTTGCATGCTTACAGTGTGTGGCAGAGAGGAGTTTTGAAACTTACAGAATTAAGGATATACCCTTACTAATTTGTAGCTTAGTTTTAAAATATTCTTAGTACTGAATTGTAGTTATTTTTGATGGCAGTGATGACTATCTTAGGACACCTTTGGAATAATCATGAAACAAACTGTTTTTTCTGAGCCATCAGTATTTTAAAATTTTAGATTGTACGTTTTTGAGAAAAATGCTCAAGGTCTTACAAAGCTTTTTAGCTAGATAAAGTGTAATGGTATTTGATATTTAGTTTTGAGTTTTTGTTTCCACATACTGGTTTTTAGTGTGTGTCTTCTTTTGGTATAAGGCTGTTTGGTTTATAGACAAAAACAGACCTTGTGTGAATTAATTACATGTTTGTTTTGTATTTCCTTCAGGGTCTTGATGTGGATTCTTTGGTAATAGAGCACATCCAGGTGAACAAGGCCCCTAAAATGCGCAGACGTACCTACAGGGCCCACGGTCGGATCAACCCCTACATGAGTTCCCCCTGTCACATTGAGATGATCCTCACTGAGAAGGAGCAGATTGTTCCTAAACCAGAAGAGGAAGTTGCACAAAAGAAAAAGGTTAGAAAAATTTAGTAGTGAAACTCTTGGCCACTTAATTTCAGATTTAACTCTAAATTTGGCCAGAACTCTTGTCAGTGTGTTTAAAAAATCTGAGGCATTTTAAATTGTTTTTCAAATCATGTGGTTGCTGGGTCATCTTAGGATACACCTTTGGGAATAATCATGAAAGCAAAATACCTGCTGAGCGGCCTTAATACTTGGTGCAGGGTATGGAAGAAACGCCTTGAAAACTAGTGAAAAGATAGTTTCAGCTTGTTTCCCAGTTTCTGGTTTAGGGCAAGGAATGTTCCTAAATAACTGAATTCATACACACACTGAGTCTGTGGGAAGATGTCCACACATGGAGTTGTTCAGGAATAGTTGTATATTGCTCTCACAGTTTCCCTTATTCTGAAAGGATTTTCAAGTGTAGACGAGCCCTGAGAAACTTAATGAAGAGTAGAAACTTAGTGGATTAAGTCATTTCAATTTAAGTAACCATCTGATTTCTAGTAGGACTTCTGATATTTCATGCTTCTGTTGCAAATTTTACAGGTGAAACTAATTCCTTTGTAAGTGCTTGATGCCACACAAGTGCAACACCAGATTCTGAAGCTAGTCAAAATTCACCTATGCTTTCTCAGTAGGGCAGCTATGAAAATTACTGAAGGTGTGCTGCATACTTGGCAGATTGCTCTTCCATCCTACCT